TGAGCTAGATCTACTAGGATTTATTGTCATTACTAGAGTAGACTATAAGTCTCGATATGGACTATATTTGAGTATATAGCTACTATTATATACACATACTTAAAATATATTTTATATAGATATCTAGATCTATATAGATCTAGATTCTAGTACAAATTTCTAAAAATCTGTTTCTGTAATTATTAATAACATATAATATATATGAATATGATACATTTAACATCACATTTACAGGCACTAACTTGAAAACAGCTGCTTTAACTAGATATTAGAATCTAGAACTTAGAAGGCAAAGATGGAGTACATTGTCAGTGCTGATCCTCCGCACAATAATACAGAACATTTACGAATGATGATAAATGCTGTGGATGCAGTAATAAGTGGTAAAATGTCACAAAGAGTAGCAGCTAAAGCATACAATATACCTCGCAGTACTCTGCGCAGTCACTTGCCAAAACACTCTTCTGTAAGTTCTTAACTCATAATAATTATTCTTAGGAAAGCTTTTTATTAAACCTTTTTTTTAAGAATTATTTCCTGTAAAGTTCTTCCTTTGAAATTGTTACTTTTACCACTGCTCTCTTCTCTATTGGCTGTCGACAATCATTCAAATTACATGTATTCTGGTTTAACATTTAATAAGCCTTTTTAATGCAAGTGGCTTTCAAAATAACATGGAATCAACACCATTAACGCTGGAAAATTAAATCAAGAAGTAGACATGGTATGGAGCTCTAAATATTGGAGTTTCTGTTAGTAAAGTCAAGAAAATGGCCAATAGAGTAAGACAGGCAAAGAAACTCAGAGCCAGACAATGAAATATTATCAAACTCTATCAATGCATGCATCTATTGTAATTAGCGATTCAAGGTAAAAATCAGACTCCACTGCTATCTTGATGCACATATACAGTAAGATCATGCTAAACCTTGATTGTTTTTGAAGGCACCTAACTGTGTCCCTTCATTTAAACCTGTGGTTAACACTTCTGATCCTCGTCAATGGTTTATATAGCTAATTAAAAGGACCAATTGGTTGACCTTTCTCAAATATAATGTGCATGAAGAAAAAAAATGCTAGCCTCCATTACGATTCCCTTGGATCGCTAAAGATGGCTAACATCACCTACCAATCAGCCTGTGAGTTACATCATACTCTGACAGCAATTTAAATGCTAAAAAATGGAAAATTGGTTTGTGTGTTGGGACAAGTCAGGGAGCACATAAGGCACCCTGAACAAGCCTACCTGTGGTGGAGGCTGCCCAGGTCTGTACAAGCTATTATAGCACAGTGTAGGATGTGTCATTGTCCTGTTGATTTAAATTTGACATGGCTCAGGCCAAACTCATGGTGCCCCCACTATGTGGAGGAAGAGGAAACTGTTTCTCATATTCTTTTTGAGAGCCCTGATTTCAGTCTCACATGTCTGGTAATTTACAAGTTCTTGACCTTTATGTTGACATGCATGCTTTATGAATGACGGCAGGTTTTCTGTCCAGAACTTTCAAGGGAGGATTTGAGCCTTTTCGGCCCTTATTCAAATGGATTTTGATTCTCAGCCTGACGGCCTGACCTTCATGCAGTTTCCATCAATCAGTTTTATATTCATTATTGATAAATCTATTTGTAGCTTTCATTAATATCTTTTTTTAGTACAAGCACAGAATTCCAAAACCTCCAGCCGGCTTTAAAGGAAAGACAATTCTTTCAAAAAAAGAAGAAAAAGAGGTAAGATATTTGTTCTGATTATCTCTCTTGGCTTGAAGTTGTATTTTTTATGGGAATATATATTGCATATTAGTAGTTGTCTGCCCTCTGCTAAACTGATCTAGTTGTGATACAGAAGTTGTCCATCAGTACCAACAATTTTGATGATTTCCTAAGGACTGCGATATATGTCAATAAATATTTCCTATTGTACATATTCTTGTTCTTTTTTTCTGCTGGGTTTTTTGGTTTTTGTTTTCTATTCAATCGAGGTAAGTCAAACTACCTTTTCTGTTTGAATGCAAATAATAATTATAAAGTACTAATAACTATTGTAAGCTCAAAAAATGTATGTGTATTAATTACTTGTATGTGTATTAATTACTCCTATGTGTATTAATTTCTATCTCTTTGAGTGTTTCATTCTGTGCACTCACATTATTTGAATTTAACTTGGTTTTTACAACCTGTGATCTGTTTTAAATATGCTAATTAAAACTCAAATTCATTTTGATAAGTAAATGAGTGAATTAAAAACTCATGAGTTAACTTTTAATCCTACATTGTAGTTTTTTTTTTATGACTCTTATTATTGGTTTATTCTCTTCTTCTCCAGAGAAAATGAAAAGGGAGGGGTACTTCGAAAACAAATTTTAACTCAGTCATAATTTCATTCCATCTTGTTTAGTACTTTACTGTTCTTAAATTAAGTCTGTCAAACTTATGCCAGTCCACTTTCTGATGTCATTTACCTATCTCTTTTGTCATTCTTTTAAATCAATCTGCTTCTCTTGACTTAACTTATTTTCATGAGCCCTTTGGCTCTCCGACTTTTTGCTTGGTGCTCTCCGACAAGTTGAAATTAAATATCTTTTTGTGCCTTCTGATTCCCGATATCCAGTGTAGGCAACTTTTGGCGGAGTTCTAGAGTTTTTCCATTTTGTTTTTGTAACTTTTAATGATTTTGAACCATATGGAAGGACTGATTTAACATTTTTGTTCAAGATTCGCAGTGCTTTGGAATACCAAATTTCTTAAAGAGTGATATGTGCAAACCTAGCTTTATTAATGTGATTTTGTATATCATCACCGGTTCCACCATTTTTGTAAACTCTACTTTCTAGATAGGTAAATTTGGTCCATATCCAGGAAGTTCTTCCCCTGTAGTGCCATTAGGCTTTTTTGTCTGTTATTGATTCTCATGACCTCGGTTTTCTTTTTCTTGGTTAGAATTTCAGTCTCTATTTTCGAGAGTATGGTCAATAAGGCATGAGCGTTTTGTTGCTTGTTTGCACTGTTAAATTATTTTTAAAAGGTTGATCTTATTTTGATTATTCTGAGTGGGTTTTGGGGATTAAAAGGGGAGATCAGTGTGATTAGAAATATTGTTGAAAGGATTGTTATTGCTAACCTGATGATATCACTGAATGATTTTAATTAATTATAATATAATTATAATAATTAATTATTATTTTAAATATGTGAAACTTCTTGTTCACATTAACAGCTGGTAGAGTTTATCATCAACATGTACAGATCTGGCTTTGGGCGGACTCGACAGGATGTTCTCTACAAAGTTCAAGAAATCCTGAACAAGGCTGAAAGAAAAACTAAGTTTGAAAATAATTTACCCAATGATGAATGGTAATTAAAATTTGTTAACAATTTTTTTTAAAACTAATAACCTATTAAATATGTTCAACCTGGAATCCATATAGTTTGTTGTTGTCAGACGCCCATTTGCTAAGGTGTGTTTCATCCCTCGTATTATAAGTGGTCAGCACACTAAATCAGGGGTCCCTTGATTAGTAGTCAATTAATTGAATTAAGGCAGGCTTCCCCACTTCTGTCATTGGTAGTTTTCCTCCTGCTATCATTATTATAGCAGATTTTTCCTTCTGTTTCCAACAGTGACAAGCTTTCTGCAACAGGGTTTCCCCACCCTAATACTACCAGTATATCCTAAAGAAGTCCTAACCTTTACTATGCATGTAACAATGAACTACTCTATAAATTGAAATTTTAACAGGGTAGATAACAAATATAGGGAAAAGAAATAAATATTTTTGGATTAACTTTAATTTGCAGACAGTTAGCATTAGATATATAGAAACACTTTTTTATTCAAACATTTGGAGGCAGGTGCCTTATCCAGTTTTCATTTACTTTAATTCCAGGAAATTATGGGCTTAACATGGTCTTAATTGTGCAGATGTGCCAAAACTCTAAAATCCGAATCCATTCAAGTGTCAGTTTGGTTTATTTAAGATAATCTGGTGGAGACAACTGGAACTCTCTGAGTACTGTCATCTTTAATGAATATGCAGGATCAGTTATAAAAAATTACCAACAATCCTTCTAAAATGTTGGCTAAATTTTCACAACATAAACTTTCTATTGACTTTCAGTTCTTAAGTTATGAAAAGGAGAGCATGATCATAGCAAAAAGAGCTGATCTACAATACTTAAAATGAAATGCTAAGCTACCAAAGAAGAGAATCACATTATGGTGGCTACATGACACTTGGTTTATCCCCAGTAAATGGGTAGTAATATCAATCCCCCAATCAGAGTAGAGAATATTGTCAACTATTTGAAATGTAGAACATTTCTGTTTTGAATGCTCAAATTATCCAGAGATCAACCTTTTGTTTAGCTAGAGTACAGTGAAGATGAGAAGAACTTCTTACTATTTCCTAAAGCATAGACTAAATAAGAGCCATGAAAAAGCTGTATGAAAAAAGTATTTCCTTTTGTCAGACCTTCTGTAGAATTTCAATCTTCATTTAATTTCTAAAAGTTTGTTTTAAAGATGAAATGATCCTGGGATTGAATATTTTGTTTCCATTCACCTTCAGGTTTGAATCATTCTTAGAAAGACACAAAAGTAGTATCAAAGAGTGTATTATTGCCAGTGGTTTTCAAGAGAAAGGTGTTGTGCCTCTAGATGTGTACAGTGTGGAACAGACGATACAAGTAGCAGTGCCCCAGCCTGCTCTCCACCAGCGGGCCCATAACAATCCCATCCTCTACCATCATCCTGTCACTCAGCCTCAGCACCAACAGCCACAACAACTTTCCATGCAACAGCAGCTTCACTGCCCACAGCTGAGTTCAGACAATGCCTCAAGATGCAGGCTGCTTCCATACTCATTTCAAATGTAAAGACTGTTTAAGCATGATTGGTATCCAGATGTTTGTTGGGGTTTGCAGTGTTCTGAGCTGAACTGATCTAGTTGTGATTCAAAAGTGTGTGTGTTATAGTCAGTTATGATTCAGAAGTGTGTGTGTTATAGTCAGTTATGATTCAGAAGTGTATATGTTATAATCAGTTATTATTCACAAGTGTGTGTGTTATAGTCAGTTGCCATTCAAAGGTGTGAGTGTTATAGTCAGTTGATTGAGATGTGTTTGTTATAATCAGTTATGGTTCAGAAGTATATGTGTTATAATCATTTATGATTAAGAAGTGTCTGTGTTATAGTTAGTTGTGATTCAGAAATACGTGTATTATAGTCAGTTATGATTCAGAAGTGTGTGTTATAATCAGTTATAATTCAGAAGTGTGTGTGTTATAATCTTTTGTGTTTCATTAAGTTTTAAACATTTTTCAATTGATTAAAAATGTTTCAAGGTGAACATTTTGTTTGTAAAAGGAACTGGATGAATTCTAGTTCCCAATAGATCACAGAAAATTAAAATTTTCTGATTTTTATGGAATACAAAATATTATTCCTGTTAACTAAACTTATTTTGTATGATATATTGTAATGCAAAAGAGAACAGCTTTGTTCATATTTCAGAGGTACTTGACACCCATAATTTGACCCTGTGCAAAATCAAGCCCAAAAGTTTACCCTGTTTAAAAACACAACCTAATAATTGATTCTGGTTAAAGACACAACCCCATATTACATTCTGTTTAAAAACAGAAGAACTTTCAAACATATTCTGTGGATATCTAATTTATTAATAGCTTAGCTAAGAAAGTATTAACCATTTACTGTCTGAAAAGAGTATCAAGATGCTTTATTTGTGTTTCTTTTCATCCAAGTGCAAAATTTTGTCCAGAATAAAATCCATGTCATGTTTTGGATACATCACTTTTGTATTTATTTGTGAGGATTTCTTGATCTTTATATTATGGAGAGGCACATAAAAATGCTTTAAAGTTTGTGTTTTCTAGTTCTATCACTTTCTTAAATGCAGAAAATTATCAATCAATCCACTTTGTACCAAGGTTTGGGTTGAACTGTGAATCTCAGTGTGTGGATAATTTTTGTTCATCATTTATGAGATTATTTATTTCAAAGCAATAAATCATGTATTGAAGATGTCTATAGCTAAATTCTCTTTGAATAAGAACTTTAAGACTTCATGTTTATTTCTTTTACATTTAAGAGTATTGCCCTAACACATTTGTTTTTAGTCATTATTTTCATTTTTTTAAAAATATGCTCAAATTAAAATTAATGAATAACATTTTCTTTATAAACTTGTTACCAGCATTAAAATAAGAGAGTGATGTGACCAGTGCAATTATCAAGCACTTTTTTTTTCAAACAACTTTGAGAAACCTATTAAACATATGCGGAGATATTTTGAAATCCAGAACTCAATCTGAAGCCTTCAGATCAAAAGTCATCAGCTCTACCTTAAATTTTAATTGCCCTGCTTGCTAATTTTTACCCTATGTTAATTAAACAAAACAAATACTTTTTTTCTTCAATAATACAATATTTATGGCAATTACTTTTGAGATATTTATTGATTGTTTTATTATCACATGAAAGTAATGCTACATCCCTAGTCCTAAGTTGTTGTTTTTTTAGTAATATTTTGTGTTGTTGTTTTTTTTAAGTTGTGTTTTGCTTTAAAATAACTTTAAAATTCCAAATTGTTTTTTTTTTAAAGTTTATGCTAGTTATCCTTGTTTTCACATATTGTCATATTGTCTTAAAAATATGTTTCAGTAAGACAAATATGTGGCATGAATAAGTCTTTGTCTTGGTGTTGACTTTGTTTGTTACAAACAATCATATGCTCCAAAAAAATACTATTTCATTTAATAGATTAATCAAAATAATCATAATGCAAGTGTTAATTTATGATTGCAGAGCTTAATCATGCTTGTTAAGCATGCAGACTGTTTTACTTAACAAACAATAGAATCAAAAACAAGTAATCCCAGGGTTTCAAATGCTCTGTCATTTTGTGACTGTTAGTTGTCATTCTTTGCAGATTACACAAATGTATTTCGAGTTTACCCAATGGCAGTTCAAACTAGTGTTCAATGTTTACTGTATTTTATTGTATTACTTTGTTGTTGTTATTTTAATGTGTCCCCACAGGTCTCTTATTTTGTTCACAATGTCTTTAGAATGTACCCAGACTATGATTTTTTTTTACTAAATTAAAACTAGCATGTATTTATTTCAAATGTATAATACATAAATATATTATATCAATTATTCAAATTCATGGGTGGATAAAAGAATGAATATTATAAAGGAAGATATGGAGATTATAAAGGATTATTAACAAACCTTTGTACTTATAATGAAAGAAAAAAGTTTTCTTTAGAAACTTGTTACCAACTTGTTACATTGTTACCTTCATCCCCAACTTTGTTTTAAATGACATAAGTTTGGTCTAACAAACACACAACAAACTAAAACAAATGTCAGAATTCTAGAATGAAAACTGTATAAGCTAAAAACTAGCTTCTGTAATTTTCCATCATTTATGACTATTTCAAATTATATTTAAAACAAGGTATTCTTAAGTTTTCTACCTGTATTTTTAGCGTGTTTTATCAAATTTAAGTTACCATTATTCTGAATCATTTTTGATGTAAGCATACTACTCAGTATTCTAGAACATTTCAAGCATACTATCTGCTGCTCCATTTTTTTTTTCTGATCAGCTATATCATGGATTAATTAAATGGTCTTATTACAATGTACCCTGCTATTGTCAAGTTGCCAGGTTTCTTGGCTAATGTAATTATTTTTGTAGAATCTCTTTTGAGTTCTTTTGGTTGCTCACTAAGCAATCATGTTGCTCTAATCTTGAAATCCTAAATTCAAGAAACCAAATCAATTGCTTATCATGGCTATGCAATGTTATAGTATGCCAAGTTAATCAATGAATCCTTATAAGTTGATGAAGCATTTACATCTGAAGCATTTTTTTTTTGATGGAGAAAAGTTGTTTTAACATTTTTTTAAAAAGTTTGTTGTTGGTTTAATCCATTTTTTTTTTCAATTTTTGTTGTTAATTTTGTTTAAAAAAACAAATTAATTATCCAAGCAACTAGAAGGTGTCATTTTTAAAGACACAAGTAATTAAAAATTGTTTTAAAAATGTTTAAACTTAACTAATTACATTTCTTAAAACAAAAAATCACACACAGTGTTGTTGATGAACCAAGTTGTATTTACTTCAATAATAAATAACTCAATGTTCAGAAATCTACAGAAACCTGTGCTGTTTTTAGTGAGTAAAAATTATATAATTAAAAAGTAAAAAATTGTAACTTCAAAAAAAATAACTAATTTAATTCTTTGTTCTTTTGTATGTATGTAATAGACGCAACAACAGCACAAGTATCACATGAGCATTAGAAAATCAAACATTGAAATTGAAATTTGTCTGTACATGAATTTAGTGAGGTCACAAAATAAACAGTGAAAATCATAAGTCATTAAAAACATTTGAATGCATTACTACATGTTTATATCAATACGTTATAACATAGCCAGGTCTATAGTTATTAAGTTTGAATAATAAGTGACAATACTTATCGCATAAGAGACAGAGAGTGTTTCTATTTTGAGAAGAAGAATATAAAACTTATTGTATTCATTTGGATAGATAATGAATGTTAAGTTTGATTACAGAAAAAACTATTGATAATTGTAATCAATACAATAGTACACACGTTCAAACCAGTTGTCTAGCAGCCTATAAAGACACTATAATAAGCATTATGTTATTTTGAAAGACTAAAACACTAGATCTAGTAGGGCACTGGACAAACCAACAAACGGATTCAATGTTTGTGCGTGTTCTACTCAATAACATGAGCAATATTCAACCTTGTTTCTAGACATTGCTAGAGAGAGAGATAAACGTCTGTTTAAAAAAACAAACTCTTTGACGATAAAAAGCGGGATGCCTTAAATGAATTCTGCTACCTTGGATCCACAATTCAAGATGACCTGTCTCTAGAAGAGGAGATTAAAAAAAAACACATAGGAAAGGCTGCATCGACCTTCGCTAGACTGAGACCAAGAGTTTGGGAAAACCAGAAAGTCAATAGAGCGACCAAAATAGAGGTTTACAAAGTATGCGTTCTGAGCACGCTACTGTACGGCAGTGAGTCGTGGACTACCTATGCAAAGCAAGAGAGAAAACTAAACTCTTTCCACTTGCGGCTTCCTCCGAAAAATCTTGAAAATCTCATGGCAAGAGAGAGTATGCAATGTTATGCGCATCTTCTTTTGGTGTTTTCCTTTGTGTACCATAAGAGATTGTGAGTTTCGGTTTCTAGGAACGCGCTTTTGTTGATGTCATTTTTGCTTACTTGTTTTGCTTCTGTTGTGTGATGAGGCTAGATCTCCTGTGAGTTTCTCTTATGGGTTTTCTTCCCCAGTATTGGGAAAGTTATTTATTTACTTTATTAGTCTTCGTGGTGTAGCTCGAAATTCGTTGTTCCTATGATCGTGTGGACGGCGATCTCAAGGAATATGTATTTTCTGTAATAGGAGAAAAAAGGGCGCAGGCTTGGGACTCTGTTGGAGTCAAGCTTGATTCACAGTGTGGTTTGATATGGCCCGTGTATCTAAGGCCTTTAGTGTAGGCTGCGTCGTGATTGAATTATGGCCTCGAGTTGAAGGTGTGATATATTTCGTTGCATTAATATGTATACTTTGTGTTTCCTCTGAACATACTATTGACTTTTATTTATCACTCATGTCATCATATTTCATACATTCATTAAATTGTTAAAAGTACAACCTTGTTGTTAATTAATGGCCATTAACTTACGTTATCATTAATATTGTTCACGTTGAACAACTGTTGGTATTGACTAAATGTTCAGTTGAATAACTTTTATTCAATGTGTGTATTTTACATGCTATTACCTTTATGTTCTTGCGTTACTCTGTTCAGGTTGGGGATACGGGACCATAATATCATACCCTAGCTAATCTGAAATCCCACCCTGAGATCCTTGCGCGAACGGGCCTTCCCAGCATCTTTGCAATCGCAGACAACGACGCCTGCGCTTGCTTTATCATGTTCGCCTGATGGAGGACAATCGCATCCCGAAAATCATTCTTTACGGGCAACTCGCGTCTGACTCAAGAATAACTGGCCGCTCCCACCTTCGTTACGTGGATGTAATCAAACGAGAACTCAAAGCAGTGAATATTGATACTGACCCTTGGGAAGACATCGCCCTAGACCGCACTACGTGGGAAGCGCTTGAACTTGGCTTGGCTACCTAGAAGTGGGCTCGAGGTTCGA